TGTCCATGTTGCTAGAGATATACAAAGACGCAGAAGGAACGGTAAGCGGAAACGAGACCAGGAGCGACGTGGAGAGGTGTGGATCGAGCGTGCGAATGAATGAGGGGTGGTTGGAAGTCAGAATGAAAGAGAACACGGATGCGAACCACTCAGTCGGCGCCATCGTGAGTAGGGAAACAGTTCAACGTGGAATAAAATATGATGGTTAAATCTGACAATAACGATTGCACGAGGTAAGTCACTGCACCAAATACGGTGTTTGATAGTTGGTTTGGTGTATGGCGAAAAGCAAATCGAAAAGTGCTTAACTAATTTCGGTCACATGACCTGTCTGTTACGGGTAGCTCTGAAGGCACCTGCAACGAACAACCCACCGTGGCGCCACTGATCGCCGAAGTGTGAAATCATCTCTACGTTTTAAGACCCAATATTTCTAGTGACGACTTAGGAGTGATATCGAGGAATGAAGCAGAGAAGAAAGATAACAGAAAGGTTATTACTATATCGGTTTTGGGGAAGCCTGTTCCGTCCTCATCAATAGATAATGCAGATCAACAAAGATGTGGGCGGAGTGGTGTTTGCGATAGCGATAAGACCATCGTGAAACGTACCCTGGAAGAAATACACGAAAAAGCAGTTTTGTCCGGTGCTTAAAGGTGGGTTCAAGAGAACAACGTAGCTAAGAAAAGATCGACACCGTATTAAAATGTCGCAAGGGAAGCATCCGTGCGAATGCCATACCACCCGCTATCTCTGAGAGAATAGCAGAGATAAACGTGATCCACTCGGACATAGTTGTAGGAACTGACACGGACCTCCTTTGGTTCGCATGTGAACATGTGCGCCATCCGTAGCACTCCTCAAATTTGACCGCTCGATCAAAAAGAAAAGTGCAAATACCAAAGCACCAGGGCATTTGTAAATGTATAAAAAAATGAATTAAACTACAGAACGTCAAAGAGTAGAGCTTAATAAACCTGACGGGGGAATGTACACGTGTGGGCAGAGGAAATCACGCTGGGTTTGTTTGGAGACTGAAAGTACAAACAAAACCAAACTAACAGAAAGAAGACGAGAAAGACTGGAGTGTATCACAAACTGGTCTGGAAACAGTAACCACCGAATCACCTGATCACTGTGACACGGACAAATCCGCTATCTAAAATGAAAGAGGATTGTGAGTGTTTTTAGAAGAACGGAGAATGAATGAGAACGTAGCACAAAATGACGCGATAGCAACACGCGGGTGCATGCAGATCTGTGGAAGGCTAAGAAGCGGTCACAGGACATACTGTGGAAGCGCATGCAAGTGCAACCTTAAAAGCGGGTAAAAACAGCATAACTCAGAATCAGAGAATGAACTGAAAACGGTGATCATGTGAGAGGGGCAGGAGAAACACCGATTAGCCTGTGGGGGCCTAAGTTGAAAACGGCAAGCTGCGTTGATAGGGCAAAATGCATTGGAGCATAAGAGAGACGGTACGTTTCAAGCAGTCGCGTGAGCGTAACCATCATCGATGTTTGGTTGATGAAGATGGTACACAGAGTTAAACGGAGTGTACCGATGATATCTAGGCGATGGAGAAGGAGCAATTATAAGCAGATTGGTGCAGCGCTGCGCAGAAAACAAAAACTCAAAGATGGTAAGTTGTGCATGGCCCGCTCGTCGCTGCAGTTTGTTGCTAAATCGGGAATTCAGATGGTGGCAGTTACCTTGCACGGCAAGAGATTGGGTTGTCAACAATTCCACCGGGCCCTATAGTGGCAAGATGCGAAAAGTCGGGGCGAAACGAAGCCCTAGATTGTGATGTCAAGTTCGTGCATAATGTGATCCAGGATTCGATTGCACAGCCCTGGAGACAACTTCGAGAGTACACGAAAGCTGACCGTTATCCCAGGAACAGTGAAATAAGGGGGAGGCAGGGAATAGAACAAAAAGCGTGAACGATAAACGAGAAAAACGGAAGGTAAACCCATTATAGTGCTGTCTACGGTAAGAAAAACGATGCGGTGAATGTAGGCGCATGAAGCCGCGGATTCCGGAATATAGACAGGCTTTCATGCTCAAGGGTACTACAAATAAGAGTTTAGATTCCGGGTGGAGAATGAGCACGAGTCACAGTATCCACGGCATGACTGCCTTTTAAGTGGAGAGAATCACTCGTGAGTCCGGAAGTAGTGTTGCAACATGGACCAAGCCCGTTGCCGTGGAAGAACATCATAGGTTGAGAAGCGATACACTCCAACAATGTCCGTTCGCTTCTAGGGGAAAAATGCCTTAAAAACATGATCAGCTGTAGTGAATACGCGCAGCAATGAGTCTTTATGATACAGGAGACCTGGCACTGTAAAGATGTTGAAGGTGAAATTGTAGCAAGTGACGTTCTTATTCACTGTTCTGTTGAACGCTCACGTACGGATCGGAACCGCATGGATCGTCAGTGGAAAGCATGGTCTGCTACTCGTCACGATGTATAGACCGCTTAGTGCTAAGGTACAGGCCAAAATATTAGAGTGAGCATCACCAGTAGATGTAAAGCCCCAGCTGTCCCGAATCAGAAGCAAACAAATTGTACGATGAGTTGACGACTGCTGTCATGGAGCACATACCGATCACTCCCTGTGCATATTCACTGGTGACAGCAAGTGATTCCATATCAAATTCCGAGCAACTCGAGGGCTACAGAGCATCGTGAAATGTAGAGCCACCAGGATTTAGTATTAATAAATAATCTGGAAATATTGTTTTGCTGTCATCAAAAAAACTTGGCAGGTCCGATCGCTTTATGATCAGGCAATCTCCTGTCGTCTACAATAAGACAAACTGCAAGGTTTTCGCTCAATGTAATGACCGTGGGTTGAAATGGATATAATCCTTTGCCCCAAATATAACACGATTGAGGTAAAACATCGCATCCACAGACTTCAGTTCGTTTTTGACGTGTTCAAAAGGAAACCGAACTTTTGAAATAGCGCGGTAACCGGCAGAGGGAGCGCGCTGCGGCTACTGAGCGCATGTGGTGGCTTGCTTAGACAACAAAATGCCATTTGCCGCATTTCGCTCTGACTGTTGGTTGGGGAGCTACAGCCGCTGAAGTGAGCATGTGCATAAGCTGTTCGTCGGATTAGTGCCAAAGAGACAATGAAAGTGCTTGAAGAACAACGCGTGTGTGTGAAATTATGCCACAAACTTGGCAAAACATTTACAGAGACATTTCAATTGCTTAGCCAAGCATACGGGGAAGATTGACTGAGTCGCACGCAGTGCTATGTGTGGCTTAAGTCTTTTGAACACGGCAGAATATCGGTGGGTGATGATCCCAAACCTGGACGAACTTCACATCAACAAACGATTGACATGTCGAGAGGTCTTATTGCGATCCGTGGAAATCGACGTTTAACTGTTGGAGAAATTGCTGACGAAGTGAACATCAGCGTTGGATCATGCCAACAAATTCTAAAGCGTTTGAGGGATGCTGTGCGCAGGAAGAGGTCTGAACTGTGGGAAAACTGGGCTTGGATATCGCATCATGACAATGCGTCGGCTCACATATCGCTCCCTGTCCGCAGCTATCTAGCAAAACATCACACTCTCGTTGTGCCCCAACTACTGTATTCTCCGGACCTAGCCCCTGTAGACCTTTACCTGCTTCCCAAAAGGACGTCGTTTCCAAACCATAGAGGAGATACAGGACAATGCGACAAGAGACCTGCGCACCATCCCAGAAAGTGCGTTCCAGGAGGCTTTCCAAAAATATAAGCACCGTTAGGAGCGGTGTACTGCCAGTAGTGGAGACAACTTTTGAGGTGGAAAGTGCTTAAAATTTTGTGTAATGAGCAATAAAGATGTTATAACAAAGTCCGGCTTATTTCTGTACACCGTTCGTATGTAGCTACACATTGTGGCCAAATGACAAGTTACTTGAACTTCTATCCGGATCTGGGTTGCTTGACGGGAACTAATTTCATCCATGTCAACCGGTGCTCTTTACCACACCTCATGCAGTTATGTAGATACCATGGGAAGACATTTAAGGGTAAAGACTGTGTTTCTGTGAATTCCGTTGCTGTTAATATCAAGGAGGAGTCGCACATCGATCAGGTCTACATCCAGATATTTCTGGGGATCAATAGTTGTTGCCAGAATCGGCCGACAGTAAAACAACTACGCAGTCGTCACGTTACGAATGGTAAAACGGACGTAAAAGAAACAAATTACAACTAATGCGGTTCCAGTAATGACTCTTCGTCCGAAGTTTCGGTGGTATTCAAACTCGTCGCCTCCTATGGATGTTGTAACACTACAGAGGAAGCTAATCCGACTATACTCGGGTAACTCAAGCAGACGTGACAATGTCTTCCCATGTTCTTAAGGAATATGAGGATTCATTAGCCTAGCATCTTGTTGAGTTTTACAGAGTGCACTTAAAATGAGCAAGATCATGGATTGTTGGAGAACTGCTAGCACAACGTCAGTACCGAGGAAAAAATAGGTAAATAACAATCTATCGCATGCACTTCAGTGGCTTTGAAAAGCTTATCCTCGAAAGAGTGCTAGCTCAACCACGTCTAAATAACCCATATCAGTTTGCACGTCTAAGGTCCACACAACACGCAGTGGCTTAGCTGGTGCACTCAGCGTTATCGTCGCTAGACAAAAAGTACAAAGTAACACGTGCACGCCTCCTTAAATATAGCAACGCCCTTGGATGTGTTAACCACAAAATGCTGTTGCGAGATCTGTTCTCTTTTGGTATTCAGCCATCCATAGTCTTATTACTGAAGGATTATTTAGCCAAACACACCCAGTTCATTAGATTCGGCTACGGAAGCTCTTCACCGCTTAGCACAACTTCAGATGTCGTTCAAGGAGCTATTCTGCTCCCATTCTTGTTCTCTAACTACGTTGGCTTTATACCTGTCTGAGAAGAGACAGACACTGAGTTTGAGCGTGTCCGTAACTTCATTAAACCACGCTTGACAAGGAGTATTCAAATCGACTGGGAACGTCGATGGATGGCAAGGGCTCGTGAGATGGAGAAAGCCAGTGCAATCTGGAACAGTCGAGTGCTATACCAGCTCATCCGGAACGCGGGTCCGAGAATGTCACCAGTTAGCGAGACAACAGCTGAAAAAATGGACGGTTGATCAATTCTCAACCTTGTCGATCAGCTCGTTGGGCGGAACATTTTGAGAAGCAGTTCAGCAGAGTTGGTGTGACATTGCCACTTGCCGAATCGCTTGAGCCGACGTGGGAAGTAGATGTTACACCTCCCACTTAGGAAGAGATTCGATATGAGCTTTCTGAGCTGAAACGAAACAGGTTCCTGGACCCGACGACCTTCCTCCATCTTTGCTGAATGATGAAAACGACTCTTTGTTGACTGGACTTGCTTCACTTTTTAACCCGATTCGGAACACTGAAGAAGTGCTTTCAGAATGACAACTATCAACTGTCATGCGCTTCATCAAGTTAGGTCAGCGTAATTTGTGCGGAAGTCATTGAGGCATTAGCCTTATTTCCATTGTCTCAAAACTTCTCACGGATATCCTTCTTCTACGACTTACTGGTGCCTGTGTGAACTGAATCACTGAAAGCCAGGCTGGCTTCCGCCCTGGCCATGATTACATCGCCCACATATTTACTCTTCGTCAAGTTTTAGAACAGAGACACACATACAGACGACCGCTTATGGTGGTTTTCCTTGACTTGAAAGCCGCCTTCGACTATATTTACCGCGCCAGCTTGTGGTACTGCTTACCCATGAAGGGCGTGCCAGCTAAACACTGTTCCACTCTGAAGTCTCTCTACCGTGATTCCTGAGACCGTGTAAGAGTCCACGGCAAGCTATCTGCTGAGTTCGCCACAATAAGTGGGGTTCATCAGGTTTGTCCTATATATCCTTTCCTCTTCTAATTGTGATTGAAATGATCGTGGTACTTTCAAACTATTCTGAAGTGGAAGTTCTGCCAGGTGACCGACTGACGAAGCTAGAGTATGCGGACGACATAGTCCTCCTTCGGTCTGATGCACTGGCTATGTAAACACTACTGTATGGACTTGTGCGCAGCGCTGCACGTTTCGGCAGCGCAAAGTGCTGTTACAGGGCTAGGTGGACACACCTCCCGTTATAGCCATCACCAAACAGCCACAGGAAGTGTCGGATCGGTTCACTTACCTTGGTAGCTGCGTCACCTATGGTGGTCACATCACTGAGGAAGTTACTTCGCGTATCAGTAAGGCCCGTGTGGCTTTCCAGAGATTCAACCGTCTGGGGAAACGGCGGGAGATTAGCTTGTCAGTGAAAAGTGGGGTGTATAACGCTGCGATAAGGCCTGGGTTACTGCACTGAGCAGAGACCTGGTCAGTTCGCAATGAAGACATTAAACGCTTGACTGTGTTTGATTACCGGTGCTTGCGAAGTATTGATCACATCTGGTGGGAACACAGAGTGGGCAATGCCGAGGTCCGCCAGTTGATTTTTGGCAAGAAGTCTTCTGGTGCATCACTCGAGTCTTTACTTAATCGGTTACGTGGGCTAGGCCATGTCCTCCGTATACCCACATTATTGGCTTCCCCGGTGTGCGTTATACGCCGTGGCCACACCAAGTTGGGCGAAACCGCGAGGTGGCTAATAAATGACGTGGCATAGGAGCTTGAAGAAATCAACTGAAACTTGGTCAGTCTAGTGAATGCCGCCTTCGTGGTTGGGGGCCTCGGGATGATCCATACCAACGATTGGAGACCCTAGCAGACATGGCGCAGTCAGGCAGTTAGTGGCGTTCCTGCATTCGGTTTCTTACATCTGGTTGTTAATTTTCGTTCTATCCTGATTGGTTTAATGCACTTCTTGTTGCTTGCAGTTTCGTTACATGCTATTTGCATTCAAGGCCACTAGCCGGTATTAGTTATTGTTATTCTTGCGATGTGAGTCGTGGCAACTGGATCCGCCGCACTTGGGTGGTCGGACCATAGTGGTTGAACTGAACTGAACTCGTTTCGCATTAGGTGTCCTCTGTTGGGTTCAACGCATTTGCATGGATCCAGCTGAAAAGATAGTTCACGTGGTCCAGACGCGGTGGAGAGACGCAGGCTCTAGCTACGGTGAATGAAGGCAAAACGGTGAACGGATAATCCTCTCAACAAGTCCGGCCAGCTTCCAGTATGCGCGTCACAGTATCCTTTGGTCCGAAGACTTGGTACTGCAGCACAGTCTGGGAGCTATTAGACGATGATACGACGTAAGTGGCCGTCCCTGGGTACGCCAGAGATTGAACGACCAAGCGAAAACCAACACGAAATTATCTTGAGGCAGCAGGAAGATGCAAGGACAACACGGAGAGAAGGAACAGCGTTAATGTAAACGCACAAACCATGCGGAAGGTCAACCGACAACGCACAACATAGCACACATCACTGAAAAAGTGCTGCCTATGTCGCAGTTTTATATGATACCTGACAACAGGGTGGAATTCGGCTGTTTAAAGGCAGAAAAGTTACAAATGTTTCGGTGAAAACCTGTGCAGGATCATGAAAAGCAGGTAAACAGTTACATTTGACGGTTTAGTGCAATCATGCGAAATAGTGAAATATAAGACTGATGAAGCATCTGACGTTTAAGGAAATTAAGGAGGTGTAAGGCAGGTCAATACATAAGGTCATGTGAATATTTGTGGCAATAGCGCATATCAGGGTATTTACTGTAAGTAAAAACCGTGAAAAATGGATGTTAACAATAGTTTCTCTGGATCACAGTTTCAGCGGCAGATCAGCCCGCCAGTGGCTGAAGAAATGAAGCGTTTTCTCTTTAACCCAAAGATCACCGATTCGAACCTGCGGGTGACCTCACAGTAGTCTAGCCTGTGCGCGACTGGTAACGTTTGCATGAAAGCGAAGCGTCGGTACGACGTATCGGCGTGTCCTGGTGATGCGCCGCGTCTTTTGTTTGCTGTCACTAAGACCGAAAAGTGATTCGGCTGCAATTAAATTGATGCTAAAAATAGAGTGATGCGTTTTTGTAGATGAACTATGTTGTCGACTTTCACTAATCGAGAAGGTGCAGAGCTCCAAGCCCAAACCCTCGACTCAAACCAAAAATCGAAAGACATTGAAAAAGCACAGTTTCTTCTGAAGGACAAAACCGAGTCACATAGGATACGATTTCGTTGGCTTATAAAGTCCTTCTAGTAAATGAGTTTGAAACACTCAATGTGAGAAGACGCTATTGGTTGAGCTAGCGCCATGAGCACTAAATAAACCAAGTTGCATCGAGCTAGATCGTCGGAAATTGTACCCAACCGATTTCGTTAGATTCCCCCCAACAGACTACCGAGAGAACAACAAGCTGAAGAGTAACGTAAACATGTCTTAAGTTGGATGATGTAGGTACCAGTTAGGAAACCCAAGTAAAGGCTTAGATACAACACTCAAATATCTTGGAAGAACCAACAGAATAAGAATGGGTGTCGAGTTACTGGTGAACATCCCTCCGCGGTCCAACAGAACTTCCTAAGACACAGTGACTGAGAACAAGCCTGTACACAGCAGACGCGATTAGGCTGCCGGATACACGCAAATAAACACCGTAACATCAGTCTAACATGCAGCAGACAGTAATGCGGACCACAGGCTTTCGAGGAAAGACCCCTCGATCAGAAGTGAAAGCTTACGGACAGTTGGAAAGAAGAAGTATTCGACATATGGTGGCGGCCGATTACGCGGAGTTTATTGAAGGATGCACACCATTGCATCGGTTAATAGTGTGCATAACACTACAGTTCACCTTGTATTACTCCGTGACTCTGGGATATGCACACTATACCATGCGGACATAAAAATTACTGCATAACCACCGGTGCTTACAGGTAAAGCTCATAGGCAGTGGAAGTACTAAATGAGTAACATGGAGGTCCGGTAGGTAGCATTCGGCAACAAATCTGCATGTATCGAACAAAACCGCCGACGTTCGTCGAGTGCTAGTGAATCACTCGCACCGAAGTGTACGGTTTGACGTTAACAATGGGGTGAAGAAACGGAATAAGGTATGAAAAAACTAACCGAAAAGTTGGCTGGGTCGGTGCACGCCGTCGAAATGGGTGGGATACACGGGATCAGTAACATATTTGCACAGTGTACAAGGGCTCAATAAGCGGTACGCTTGCGTATAACATTTTACATTCAGCTATCAATCTTCGAATTAGACAACCACAAGTTCTTGTTTTGTTTCGGACCCTTTCCCCCTGGATTTGTGTTTATCATTTGCCCCTTTATTATCATGGTGGCACGACTCACAGTACCCGAGTCGTACTCGATGGCCCGAAGTGAACCAAGTCAGTAAAACTAGTGGCGCTTCTTGAATTCTCATTGGTCGCACACGTTAGTGTGCATTTTGCCGAGGCTATGAGTGGCCGGGTGAGGCAACTAGGTGACCAGTTGGGGAAGTGAGAAAGAGGCGCAAAGAAACAACAGCGAAGCAGCAATTTGAATCACCGATGTACTGTTGTGGTTGGAGTGATTCACAGCTGCTCTTCGCAATATTACATCCCCCGACCGATTTCATCCCAACTCATAGTGGTTGATCATTAGACCAGAGCTTTTTGTTGATGACGGTGATGAAATTAGCCGCAAAGTATGAGCATTTGAGAGCAAACTGCCCTGGTCTTTATAATTCGAATCGTCCAAACCCGATCCCAGCCCCACACAAATTCAAAGCCACTACGCTCGTGGTGATGACTTAGGTGAACTACTCGGGGTCCCAGATATGAAGCACATAATAACACAACACAGCAAAAAACCCTAATGAAAAAGAACGAGGCAACAAAAAATACCAAGGTTAGGAGAGCTGACAATCGGGATGCAATAAAATGGCTACAAGAACACCGAGGACTGCGCAAACGCAGAATGCCGGAAGGGAGCCTCTAATCAGTGAGTCGCAGGTAGGAATATGACGTACAACACAACAATAACATCAACAACAACCCAACCTAACTGTATTGACAAATGCTGTATGTCAGAGTGGCTGATCGATGAATGAAGCAACAAGTGACGAGCACTGAAGCATATATTTCCGTAGATAAACTGCTCTATGAGTCACAGAATAGGCAGATATATTCAAAATAAGCGCCTCAAGTCAGTGGACCCGTAGAAGATCCACCTAAATGCATGCGCCTCTCACAGACGAAGCGATCCGGAGCTCAATGGACTCTCGGAGTTAGATGCAGTCACGGTATATCACAATCACACCATAAGCAACCAAAATCGGTAGATCTCAAAGGGAGCAACACCAAAGTCTCAACCATGTACCGTTTAGGTGCTTAGCAATGTGATAGATGATATAAGTGAAGTTAACTGACAAAGTGGAGATCGTAGTGGTCGGTCTCACGGATGTGCTTGGGCTTTCTGAGATGAAATCCGACAGCGTTGAAATCGGATGCTGAATGGACGAGCATAGGACTTGTCTGAATTGTGCTAATCTTGCCATGATGTTTTGGTTTATTCCAGTCCAAGCTGTAGATGCATTTCGCCTACCCAAAACTACATCTCTATCGCATCGACAGTCACGCTTATTAAACCCATAACAGTAAATCGCCGTGGACAACAAATGCAACCATCTCCAAAAGTCGTCTGGGAATATGGAACCTAAACTGTGGGTAAACACTCCCGGAGTTGATGTAATCGAGATTAGTTGATAAAGTTCAGCTAAATCAGAGTCATCCGTGGCACTTGGCCAGGCTGCAACAGTCTACGTACAAGACGAACGACGGTAGAAACGATGTTGTCGAACAACCATCGTTGCACCCGCCCTTCAATTGAGGACAAAATGTTTATAAGCAAGAGATGATGTTACTCGATGAACAATAGATCTGCAAGGCACAAAAATCAGAGAATCGAAAGATCAAAAAGAATATATATATATATATATATATATATATATATATATATATATATACGGTTGGCGGCATCCGGTATCGGATTTGTCTGTCACTGTGGCCAGCCACAGGACGCCTGCGCCTAAAGAGGGACCATGGATGGCTTGCGCTGCACCACCCACAGCTCCAACCACACACCCCATATCCAGTGTAAACCCAAAGGAATAAGACCGGGAGGCAGGTTGATAGGAGCCGCGTCTCATCAACGGAGCCGGGACACACTCCTTCACAGGCAAACACAAGCACGCTGTAGTTGGGAATCACTCGCACACAAGCCGGTGGCTGGACCGTAGTCCGCTCCATACTGAGTGCATGGAATCACTCTTCGAGCATAGCACGACCACAAGGACCGTGCAATCCGTCCCCTCCAGCAACGACCAACTACCTCCTAGAGTCAGTATGGACAGGGAGGTGGGTAATTGTCAACATGCACATCAAGCGCAGCCACACCGGTGATGTCAAGCAACAGCCAATCACTTCAAATCACATTATCAAATAAAATATCTGTTGAAGAATACGACTACACCGGCATAACTCTTCCTTAAATTAGCATATGAAGTTAGTTAGTCAGCAACGAATCCGCGATAAGTACAAAATGTCCAGAAGTGACTCAAAAATGTTACAAACGCGATAAAGTTAACGAAGATAACCACAATTACCGTAAGCAATGTGGCCAGTTAATAAAAGATTACTCAGATAGGCAGAAGAAACCAAATAAAGTGTAATGAAATTTATCCATATATATATATATATATATATATATATATATATATATATATATATATAACACAGCCTGTAGTACAGATATTGTGCCATCGCAATCATGGCTGAAAAGGAAAACAGTATGAATAAGAAAAAAGAGCAACAACAACAAAAGCTTTTTGTCCAGTTTCTCGCCCACAGTTTTTAAAAAATTTTCTTCAGTTCGTTTTTTTTAGGGGGAGAAAGGAGGGACACCACAACATACCGATGCACACGTCCGCCATTGACATCGATCTTGAGCCATGGCTTCCAAGGTTTTCAACCAGCAAGTATCCGCATCTCTCGGACCCCAACCAGGTAGTCGACAACAACTGGCTGAGGTCATCGGTTTTGTCAGCTTTTTCATGCGGCTTCTCAAGGTTACAGGCTGTCCACCAGAACGTCTCTCCCAGCCCTGTCCAGCAAGTACAAACAACGCACGACGGGGGTAACGCTGGACAGGCAAGCGCAATACGTGTCCCAACCACTGCAGTTGATGCAGTGAGACGAGCTCCTCGAGCGAGTGGCTTCCATGTCCTAAGACACGCTGTCTAACTTCCACATTGCTTACGTGGTGCCGCCACCACACACGGGCAATGGACGGCAGACTGCGGTGCTCGAAGACGGATAGCCTGCGTAAGTCATCTTTACGAATGGGTCAGGCCTCGCAAGAACAGTTGCACCATAGACCCACCCTTTGTTGGAAAAACGAATGTCGTGGCGACGACACAAGTGCCTCAGCCTTTAAAAAGCGAGGCGTGCTCTCGAGATGCGCATCGAAATCTGGTCTCCAACAGCCCCGCCAGCA